ACACACACTCTAACATTAAAAAAAAAGAGGTCCTCTAGACCCGAATAGACATTTTTTCCAAAGAAGACATCCAGATGGCCAACAGACACATGAAAAGATGCTCAACATCACTCATCGTCAGGGAATGCAAATCAAAACCACAGTTAGATCTATTGCTTCATACTTGTCAGGATGGCTAGTATCAAAAGGACAAGAAATATCTGGGTGCCTGGCTGGCTCAGTCAGTAGAGCATGCGACTCTTGATCTCAGGGTTCTAAGTTTGAGCCCCACATTGGGTGTAGCGCTTACTTAAAGACAAAATCTTAAAAAAAAAAAAAAAAAAAGGACCAGAAATATCAAGTGTTGGTGACGATGTGGAGAGAAGGGAACCCTCCTGCACTGTTGGTGGGACTGTAAATTCTGGAAAACGATATGGAGGTTCCTCAAGAAATTAAAAATAGAACTGCCCTACGGTCCAGCAGTTCCACTTCTGGGTATTCACCTGAAGAAAATGGAGACACTAATTCAAAAAGATACATGCACCCCTACGTTTATTGCAGCGTTACTCACAATGGTCACGGTAGGGAAGATGAAGTGATGAAGAAGATGTGGTATATTTATACAGCATCATGTGACTCGGCCATAAAACAGAACGAAATGTTGCCATCTGTGACAACGCCGATGGACCGAAGACAAATACCCTGTGATTTCACTCATGTGGACTCGAAAAAAAACAAACGAACACACAAAACAAGACAGAAACCGATTCACAGGCGCAGAGGACAAGCTGATGGTTGCAGGGGACGAATGGGCAAAGTAGGTGTAGGGGATTAAGCCGTACAAGCTTTCGGTTATAAAATAAATACGCCATGACGGCAAAGACCACGGCGTAGGGAAGACAGCCAATAATATTCTAAGAAGTTTGTGTGGTGACAGATGGTGACCAGACCTACCGTCAGGGGGACCGCTGAGTAAGGGACATAAATGTCGCATCCCTGTTTTGCGCACCCGAAACTAGTATGTCAACTATACTTCAATGAAAAAAAAGAAAAAAGAAAAAAAGCAAGCCGACAAAAAGGAGATGCCCTCAATGCAGAAGTTGAGCTCAGGAGTTGAGTTCCCCTTCCGCTCTGTCGGCTTCCTCTTGTTCCTAAGGAGGGGCCATCAGGCATTTGGATTCTTAGGGGCAACTCTCAGTACTTCAGGCCCTGCGAAATCCCAGAAGAGACCTTATTTAAGGGCTTCGCCTAAGTATCGCGTTGAAACCGAGGGGAGGTCACCTTGTCTTCTAACAGGTCCACGTTCATTAGCCAGCCAAGCACACTCGAGGGTCGGTCGCGTAGACACGGTGGTATCGTAGCCTGGAAATGGGGCCGACTCCACAGGAGAGATACAGAAACTGAGACTTGAAAGCGACCGTAGGAGGCAGTGGAATCAGAGAGGATTGGGTTTGACGGTGTGTCTCTTCCCCTGTCAAGGCGTGTGACCCTGGGCAGGTCACTTAACCTCCCCGAGCCTTCATTTCCTTGTTTGTAAAATGCCAGGGTGGGACCCACCCGACGTCAGCGGCGCGTGCATTGGAGGAGAGGATGTTCGCAATGCACCTGGCCCCGAGCTCATGTTCCATAATCGTCCCTTTTCTTCTTCTTTTTCTTGTTACGTCGAATCACATGAAATTGTTGCTTTTATAGGTCATATGGTTCAACCTAACATCACCCTCCATTTTGCCCCTGGGGAGACCAGACGGAAACCATGAAGAGTGACCTCTGCCTGAGGCCTGCTCATTTATATTCCAGCCACCTGACCTCTGACCGTTGGTGCTGTCAGTGCCACAGTTGTGAGAAACACGGATTATCTCTTCTAATCAATGATGGGAGATATCCCATGTGACCTTTTGAAGTTTTTCAGTCCTGAGGCTGAGAACGAGTGGCAGGAGCGGTTTCCCTTTCCCCTTCCCATCCTTTGGACAAAGCATTAAGATCATCAGATTGTCTGGTATACGCTTTGAAGCAGATCGCAGTAGTGGCTTTAGGATAGTTTGTACATGTTAGGGGGGCTTGTGAGACCGTCTAGAGGCCTTACGTTGCTAAATGGGATAAACCCTTGAGGTCACTTTCAGTCTTCAGATTGGAGGGCCATGAACATAAGAGACAGGGATTCATATACGATTTTTGTTTTTTTAAACACAAGATGAGTTTTAAGTGGCTGCCCTCCACCATTGTTGTAGCAATATCTCCTAGTTTCCCAGTCTGGTGAGTCGAAGAAGGATCTGGCATCAGGTTTTGTTTTTGTTTTTTTGGCTGGTTGTTGTTAAAAGAACGTTGATTCATGTGCTTTGGCATCAGATTAGGTATCTTTCATCACCAAGAGATAGGCAAGTCTCACTAGGTGAATAAATTAAAGAGCTGTTGTGCCATCCAGGCATCCAGAGAGGCAAAAGCCGAGGCCGGCGCGCTTTTCCTACTGAGAAAGGAATCTGGAATTGGGAAAGGTGTGATCCGGCCAAATGAACGTTGGTCCTGAGGGGGAGGGATCATTTCAGGACTCTGGCCTTGGATTTTGATAAATTTTCAAAGGAGCCCAGATTCCCTGAGGGGTGGAGCCTCGTGTCATACAGCAGCTACCCGTGGAATGAGTCACCGCAGCCAGCCGAAAGTCACGTGGGAGCCATCGCACGTACCTCATCAAGATCTGCTGGAAGGGGTTTAGTTCCTTGTCTGATAAAGGTGTGCTGGACTTGGCGGTCGTTGGCAGTTGGGGTTTCTACTTCTTTCGTGCCAATTGCATATTAACTTACCTTGAGCTACATGGGACTGGTGCTTGGTGAGACTGGGAGGTGGGTGACATTTGCGTCCCGGGGCCTTCGCGCCTCCCTGCCCACGGTCCCGGGGCCGGTCTCCGCTTTCACGGGCTGAGAGCCCTCACCTCCTCGGCACGCAGGCCACTCTCGAGGGCCGCTTCCTTCCTTTGCCGTGAGAGCTCTCTCGGGGGAAAAAAAAAAAATTCCAGAAAGCTTTGTGCTGGCATAACCGGCGTGTTCCATCCCTGTAGGCAGCACCGCCATAGAAAGCCAAATGGTGAGTCGGTTTCTTGTGAAGGATCAGAAATGAGTTGTGAAAATGTATTTGGCTAAGAGCAGCTGGAGGTCCCACTGCAGAAAGGCAGAGCTTTGCCGGTGGCACAGAATTAGTGTCCGTGGAGCTAGATCCCCCCCCAGAACCTTCTGCCGGCCAGAAGGTTGCTCATACACCTTTCTTTTTCTTTGTTTCCTCGGGGCTGACCAGGTAAGTCCCTTTTCAGAGTGCTGTTGTGCCTGGGCCTAAAGCTCTTCAGTCTCTGATGTGATGTTTTTCCTGTCTTTGTTGCTGTGATTCATTAATTGTTGATGTACTAGCTCCCTCTCAGAGGGCACCCTTAATGTCTTGCTTTCGGGGGTATCTCACAGTTGTCCTTACACTCAGCTGGCAGCCGGCCTCTGAAATGGCAGAGCAGCTCTTTAGGACGGCAGACAGAGGCAGCCGTGACGAAGTTTTCACTTCAGGGCCAGCAGCACGTATATGAAAGGAAGTGCTATCTCCAACTTGAGTCAGAAACTATTGCAAAACAGGAAGCTCCTTGGAGCCCTGATTAAAAGCAGCTTCAGAATTATTCCAACTCTGTCAGTTTGGGAAATGTTAATTTCCTAAAGAGCCCTCTAATCTCCTCATTCTAAATCCTAACCACCAGATTTGTGATTTACATCTGTATGCTGTCAGGAATGGTCATCTACTCTTCAGAATACGGGTGTGGTTCTCTGAACAACCCTTGACATTTCTGTGCCTGTGTGAGGTAGTCACAATGGTCAGACATGGGGCACCGGGGTGGCTCAGTCGGTTAAACGTCCGACTTCGGCTCAGGTCATGATCTCGCGGTCTGTGGGTTCGTGCTCCGTGTCTGGCTCTGTGCTGACCGCTCGGAGCCTGGAGCCTGTTTCGGATTCTGTGTCTCCCTCTCTCTCTGCCCCTCCCCCGCTCACGCTCTGTCTCTGTCTCTGCCTCTCTCTCAAAAATAAATAAGATTTTTTAAAAATGTCCAAACAGTGCAGGAAGATGTTTAATGAAAAGTCTCTCTGTGGTCCCCAGGCCCTCCTTTACTTCCTGCCCTCAGAGGTGACCAGGGTCACTGGATTCTTAAAGCAGTTTTTCACCTTGATCTTGATCATGATACTGCATCTGGTTAGGAATGGAATATTGATCATCTTATCGTGTTTCCTTTAAAGTTGCTTTTAGACAGTTGATGTGTTAGCATAGTAGGTTTATAGGTAAATGTCATAATGTTTGTACATTTAAAATGTAGGAAATTGTCTTTTATCTGTACTGGGGTTTCTCAGCCGTGGCACTGCTGAGATTTGGTGCGGGATAATTCTTTGTCGTAAGGGGAGGGAAGGCTGTCTTGTGCCTTGTACCATGTTGAGCAGCATCCTTGGCCGCTACCTACTAGACACCACTGGCAGCCCCCTCCTACGTTCCGGTGACCAAAAATATTCTTAGACTTTATCAAAAGTCCTCCGGGGCGGGGGGGG